AAAAAAAAACTATCCAGCTTATTTAAAGTATGTTTGCTTGGCTGGGCATGGTGGCTCACAGCTGTAATCCCAGCACTTTTGGGAGGCTAAGGCTGGAGGATCCCTTGGGGCCAGGAATTTGAAACCAGCCCAGGCAACATAGTGAGACTCCATCACTACAAAAAATAAGAAATTAGCTGGCTGTGGTGGCATGTGCCTTAGTTCCAGCTACTCAGGAGGCTGAGGCAGAAGGATCGCTTGAGCCCAGGAATTCAAAGTTATAGTGAGCTCTGATCACACCACTGTACTCAAGCCTGAGTGACAGAGCAAGATCCTGTCTCTAAAAAAATAAGAAATAAAAAAAGTATGTTTGCTTACAACATTTTTAAAAAAATAATGTTTTCTTTCCTGAAATATTCCTTTGAACTTGGGTTCTATGATAACAACACAAGTTTTCTTTCGTCTTTGGCTAACCTTTTCCAGTTTCTGCGTAGGTCTTTTTGTATTCTTGTGTATGCTTTAAAGCATTCCTCGCAGTTCTGATTTATACCCTATATATTTCTCCTGGAAACAAAAAAAGGATAGTGATGAATAGCACAGACTTTAAAGTCAGATTGGAGTTAAATCCCAGTTGTGTTACTTACTAGCTGTGTAACCTTGGGCAAGTCACTTCATATTTCTCTCATCCGAGTAGTAACCAAGCCCAACCCTGCTTAGCTTCCAAGATCAGATGAGATCAGGTGTGTTCAGGGTGGTTTAGCTGTAGACATCACATCATATTTCTGTGTCTGTGTTTCTTCTTTTTAAGAAGTGGTATTAAATATTCCTTTTTTTTTTTTTTTTTACAGTTTTAAGATGTATAGTGTTAAAATTGTAAAACTGTAAATTATTTAAAGCAGCACAGTGCTTTTCTTGAAGCAAGCAGTCAATATGTATACGAATATAGAAGTATAGCTAATGTATATATAGATATATATATCTCATCACTTCTGTGGTTGTAGTCATTCTGTATATGCCGATAACACTTAAGTCTTTTTCCCACTTAGATCTGCCTCCAGAATACTAGATTGTGTTTATCCTACTAACCATAGACACATCAACCCATTATGTTCCTAAAATTAATTCATTCTTTTTATACTCCTGTACCTAGTCTGTCTCCAGCATTCCCTAGTGCTGAATAATACATCTATCCATGGCCTAAGCCAGAAATTTACATACCCTTGACATTTCTTCCTCACCACTTGCCATCCAGTTAACTACAGAGTATTTTTGGATTGTATTTCCTATGGTTTAAAATGGTCCATTTATTTCCTACTTCAATTCGAGAAGCTCAAAATCTGGGAATCATGTATAATATATCCCTTTCCTTTCTACCTCATTTCCATTCCATTCATCAAGTCCTCTCAATTTCATCAACGAATAGTTCTGACCTCTCCCCATACATGCTATCCTTGCTCTCACAACAGGGCTCTTGAATTTATAGTTGCCTTGCCTAGTGACTCCTACTCATCCTTCAGATCTCAGGCCAAAGCATCACTCTTTAGGGAACACTTTCTTGCCCAAAACTGGGTCAGGATGTCCTCTTACAGATGCTCATTGCTTCTTAGACCCATGCATCATCCATTACACTTCTTGGCTAAATTTATTTGCAAGCCTAATTATTTGATTAATTTCTGTCTCCCCAACCAGACTATCAAGACCATGAGGACAGAGGCATTCTTATTTATGTTGACCATTTTAATCCCTAGTGTCTGACATGCTGTAGGTCACTAAATGTTTGTTAAGTAAATAGATGATCATTGCCACTACCTTATTTAGGCCATTGTTATCTCTTCTGACTTTTTTTCCCCCTGCCCCACCCCTCTCTCTTCTGACTTTCTACAACAGCCTGCTTACTGGGTCTCCCTAGCTC